GATAATATCGTCGAAGTCTGTTTCCCTCAAAACATCACTCTCTAAACTAAGGAGAGCCAAAATATTCAATCTGTTCTCGGTCGTGGAACTTCGGAGTTTATTTTTCATAAGTTTCAGTTTCGAACGGATCTTTCAGCCGTACAGTGTGTCACTATTAGTGTGAGATGAATTCTCAGCACTCTTTAATATTGTTTTTACACAAAAATTCATACATCCATCTCCCATAGCTAATATACCCCATCTCTTTTGTTCAAATTCTTCATAGTGAACTAATAGTTTGAAATGTATGAATTCGTTGCCGAGAGTATCATCTACGTCGTCGCAGTAGGTTTTCACCAAGTTTTGGCTGATCAGAAATAGTTGTTAAATTTTTGAAAAATCCAAATTGTGCATTTAGAAGTGAGTACGCGTCCATTCTCTTCTGAAGAACGGTCATGAGCTGGTCGACAACTGGAAGGTAGCTTTGAGTTCTAAATTTGTCTGAGGGTGACAACTGAACTTCCGAAGCTTGCGGGCAGTCTAAAGTGGACAACTAGCTCGAAAGCTTTTACTTCATATTCATTAAAACTGTCTGTTTTATTTTCAATGGTTGATTTTAATGAAGTAAGCAGTGCTGCAGCAGAGTTCAAGTCCAACCTAGGATTTTTTAGGCTTTCGCTGACTTTGTTCATATATCCCAAAATATCATCCCAAAAACCGTATATAGCTGTTTCTAACTTTGGCATACCATCATGTATTCTCCGTCCTCAATAATTTCAGCGAGGGCATTTATGAAATCTTTATAGCCTCGCAAGAGTGCTTTAGTGGCTTCAACTTAACATGAACGGCAAGTTGTTGTCGTTCTTTTCGGCACAAGAATAGGTTGGTCAGTTTTTGCTTCTCTTAAACAGCGAATAACTGTATTGTACCTGTTAGTTGAAGTAGTAAAATATACATACAGCTCTTCTAACAAATCAAAGAAACTTATTGCTCCGAGACAACAACTGGCTGCCGATGCTCCGTGCATTTATATTTCTCTATTCTGGTAACCAAGTGTTGCCCATCCTTACACTTGGCTGCACCATACTGATGATGGGCCAAAAGCCCGAAACACGTGTCTATGGTTTGCCAATTTTTTGAGTGCTATGCCCTATCAATAACTTCTTTATCTATATCAAGACACTCGATGCTTTGATGCTTTGTTTCAACTTTCCACACATCAAATCGATGGGATTGAAAACAAAAAAATAGAAAGTCTCAGTATGGGGTGTCCATACTTTTCAGCAATACTCTCGAGGGCACACACTTTTTCAAATGTTTTTGTCTGTTGAACTTCAAGTAGTTGGTTTTTGGTATAGTTATCTTCAGAATACAAATTGTTATCCATTAACAAACTTTGTATTTCATCTTTCCTCGAATTTTTATTCGGTACGTTGATGAGCTGTCGCGAATTATAGGAAGCGTTGTCAAGAACCATTACACTATTCGAATCCAAACTTGGGATCAATGTGTTTTCAAACCATTTCCCAAAAATATTAGCTTCCAAGTTCTTATGATAGTCAACACTGCAGTCCTCAAGTTTTTTTCCACATAATTTCAAAGAATTCGAAACCCATCCTTTACTTCCCCTGCAATGCACAATGATAAGTCGCGATCCTTTGTTTGCAGGCATGTTAGGCGTACACATTCTCGAACCATCAGTCCACCCTTTCGTAACTGTGTCCTGAGTGTCATACGAAGTTTCGTCCAAATAGAAAATTTGCCGCTGTTCTTGTCTATATTTAGTTATTTGTTCTAAGTATATGTTACGCAATTCCACTATTCTTCTGCTTTTCGTAACTGCTTGGCATTTGTTTATTATTTTAAATCTAAATCCTAGTTTCTTTATCCATTTCTGAAGAGTTTTGTCACAGCAGCGCACGTTATGGCCGGAAGTATTCAATTTCTTCCTTTTGATTTCAGTTGTAGGAATCTCATTGCTTTTGTAACGGTCGTATATTGTTTTTTTCGATTATTTTATTAGATGAACATCTAAAGGTTTTGGTAATCCCGTATCACATCGCGTCTTGCGTTCGTAAGATTTGTTCTTGACTATTTTACGTACACTTGTGACAGGGATTTCGGTCAAATCTGATGTTGCTTGTAATACTTTGTTTCCCTGGAAACCAAACTTAAGATGTAGATTCTTATATACATTAAAACATACTCTGCTGTGTATTTCAATATTCAAATGCATCCGAATCTTATTCACTGGTATCTCTTTTTCGCATTTTTCACCATCGCTTTCGGAATCACACAGGAAAAAGTCTGCGTTGTTATCACACATTTCAAACAGATGACAAAAATTTCAAGTAATTATAACTGCACCAATATCGAATTTCAATACTCAAATCGCGATCAGTTCCTGAACTGAACATTGACGACACAACGGCGATACTCATCCCCACATTCTTTTCGTCACCGTAACAGGACTTCAAATGTAATTTTATGACTCTTCAGCCAATCATAAAACTCGGTTAGTAAAAATTATCCAATACGAACCACCAATTCTTCAGTCCACGTGGGCTAGTTGGCGGCGGCATTATTTCTCTGTATTGTTTTTTGGCCTTTGAGATGCCGATAGCTTCAACTATTCACAATACAGGTTACTTCGACTATACCTTTAATGAAATCATATTATCTTTCCCTGACATATTCAAAAATGCAACAGAATACAAGGTGTTCTATTTAAAAAAACAAAACTTTTATATGTCACACTTTTTAGCCACCCTGTAGATTCCAAAATAATTTTCTTTTGCAGCCTCAATCGATATACATATAATGAAATGGAGAAGTTCTTGAACAAATTCAATGGTTTGGTTTACAGGGACCGCCGTGTCGTATGGCGTGCCCCACCCTGTATAACTGGTTTCAAAATAAGCACTTTCATCAAACATCGAAACTGCAATACGCGTTTAACCAACCAAGTTCAGGAGACGAAGAAAACTTACAGGGTACACTTTCCGACACACATCGATGATTTCGGGTACAAATTTGCGGTAGGTAAATTTTTCACTGATTGGGCCGTTTCGAATGAGACCTTTGTCACTGTTCACGGTTCTCATGCCACACTTTGATATTTCCAGGCTTTTGAAAGTATTCAAAAATCTAGTGTCATGTAGCGATCGCAACAATTTCAGTTGTTTAATTTTTTTTATGGCTGTTCCCCAAAGCAGTTGAGGGACACTAGATTTTTCAGATCTCCGAAATCGAATATGTGATGCGTGTTTTTTGAAACGAGCTTTAATGGTCCACTCAGTCTGACTGATATATGTTTGGTCACAGTCACAGAAAATAAGGAGGAGTTACCATTCTTGGATGTCTTGATGGAGAGAAGTGAACATGGTCTAAAATTTGATGTCTAGAGGAAAATTTGTCTGATTTTTACTGAGATTTTCTTTTGTTACAATGTATTTCAGTTTATCAAACCAATAAAGGAAAATTATTTTCTTCATCCCAAATTTTTAAATATATTCCTGATAGCTCACACCACTGTCCACAACAGGAAATAGCAGGTGTAAACTTTCTTGTCTATAGACTCGTTACATTTCCCTTGAGTAAAGAAAGATACGATTAGAAAAAAATGTAATTAGGAACATAACTGAAAGCGACCGGTATTCTAGAATTCGATTTTAGGAAACGTAAATTCAAGAATAATATTCGTAAATCTTCGACTTTTCAAAAAAACATCGATTCAAAGTTCATACTCCTTCCGTATGAACCATGATACACGAATAAGATCACATTTTCAAAAAATTGAACGAAAAAACAGCTTTCAAAACTTGGATGTTGGAAAGTGAAGAGTTTTGGATATATGGAATAACTATGAAGACTGAGACAAAAATACATCGGTCAGACCGAGTGAGATATCAAAACTTGTTCCAAAGAACACGTAGCACCCGATTTGAAGACCAGAAAAGTCTAGTGTCCTTCAGTATGCTTCGAAGAAAGGTCATTGAATAAATGAAACGTGTCTGAAATTGTTGATATTCATACATGCCACTAGATTTTTGAATGCTCTTGAAAGTATATAAATAGCAAAGTGAAGTTTAAAAACTTTGAAGAGTAAAAAAGCTTTCATCCCAAACAACTCGTTTCTCATAATTTTATAAACTGAAATCTGTTGAAAAAATCTGTTAAACTCTGTTTTTTCGTCAACCAATTGTCGTCCCCCTACGAACGACGACTCTCAGAAATGGAAAGTTGAGCGATCTATGGATTAACGAGGTCTTGCCTTTCAATTCAACGTGCGTTTTCTAGCATGGATTGGATGATAGGGCGTGAAAATCGATCCCATGTCAACCCAACCGGCAGAAAGTTAGCGGAAACTTTCACTAGAATATTTATCACAAATTCATACCCGAATGTTCAAAAGTGAAAGTGTTTCCTATCAGATATAAATATAGACACTAGTTTCAGAGTTAGGAATTAGTTCTCTTCATATCCTGTCAACTTGGTTGGTATCAATGATTCCAGTTTTACCTTTCATATAACTAGTTGTTAGCAATATTTGTATGTTCAGTTACTGGCCTAAGCAGTACCACCCCTTTTAAATGTTGAGGGGTCTTGGAGTGCCTAAGACCATAATATTCTTATGATAACCTCAGTTATTTTCTTACACTATCATGAGTAACCTCGAAATAAACTCATCACATTTTCCTGGTACTGCTCACTCAACAGATATATTTCAGGATGTGTCAGCCCATACTGATGTTCAAATTACTCACTTTTTTCCAAAACGACGACCTACAAAAAAATAAATGGGAGGTATTTGGGTATGGAGTCGTTATAGTATCAACATCTTTGATAAGAACCATATGTTTACATAACTACCAACTATTGGTCATGACTTTAGGCATGAAGGTCCGAGTAGCAGTATGTTCACTAATCTACAGAAAATCTCTGAAGTTGAGTAAAACAGCTCTGGCCGAAACAACCATTGGTCAGATGGTGAATTTGCTGTCCAACGACGTGGGAAGATTTGATTTTGCAGCTCAGAATATACACTATTTATGGATTGGTCCGGTGGAAACTGTAATAATGATGTACCTGCTGTATATTTACGTTGGAATCAGTGGGATTGTTGGAATATTTTTTATTGTGGCGTTTCTTCCGCTGCAAAGTGAGTAAGCTTTTTTCAATTCAGTTAATTTTATGATATAGGTATCATAATCCAAAATAATCCACATCAGATTATTTTGTATATTTTCGCAAATTTTCCAATAGTTACACAATGAATCATTCAGTTTTTACTATCAATCAATCAATCAAAATGTACTTTATTGTCGAAGATTAAATCTCATTAAGATATACAAATATAAGATATACAAATTAAAATTAGTACTTGAACATTTGGTGATTTGAGAATTTTGGGATGAAAAAGTAGTCAGAAAGTAAAAATATATATGCTGCATATTGAAATAAATGATGAATATTCTCAAGCAACACATAAATGAAGATATAAGAATATAAAAACTATAAAGCATAAAAATATCAAAAGTGAATGCATAGAAAATAAAAGTAAGTATCTACTTCGTATATATGATGTTTTGTGAAC